GCATATATATATATATATATCGATATGTATAGGTATAGTACAGTATATACATACATGTTATGCATAACGGCATGTTTGAATTTTTCTTTTTAAAAGAATTTAATAGAATCCAAAAAGACAAATTTATACAGATTTTCTACGGGTACATCTACGGGTACAAAAAGTGAATCTCGTTTTACCATTTGCTTATCCAATTTATTATAAACCAATTAAAATAAACCAAGAATTATTAAAAATAGATAACAAATATACAACCAAGTGTCAATCAAGTACATACAAACCAGAAACGTATATTGAAATTGGAGATCAAAATAGAAGTTTTTATTGTTTATTATCGAGATTAATACTACATACGTAAAAAGTTTATGTTGTAAAATTTTATTATATCGTTATGCATTGATTAAATTAAAGGTAAATAACAAACTTCTTTTGTTAATAACCGAAGAAAATTATATAAACATTATTAATATTATTAATATTAATAATTATTAAAAAACAAATATACGTACGTACGTACATCTAAGTCACGATAAGTTTTCGCATAATGAAATAACTTTGGGTTTAAATTAACTTTGGCAAAACAATATTACTTTATTATTACTTTATATATATTTAGGAAAGCACATACATTACGACAATATACTGTATAAAGTTAAATCATGATATTATGTTAGATCAAGTGATTCAAATTCAAATATTGCGTCGACGACAAAGTAAGTGTCAGCCTAAATTGCCTTATGTAGTTGCTCCCTAAACATAATTAACGCGCATTCGGTTATTGACACATATGTACGATAGTTGACATTAAACTGCATATAGATAATACTAGATTATTTGTTCTTGCAGTTAATGTTGCAGTTAATGTGGTTGTACGGTACATACATGCGCCATTGTTTACCAATTAACCACGGTTGTTACTACATAGAATGTTACGAGGATGTTACTAGGCAACACAAAAAAAATAAAAATTGGGAGACTTGATAAATAGAAAGAGAAGGAGTTGAAATTCAAAAATTTTAATTTTTTTTTTTTTTCATTTAAAAAAAACATATCACGATTAGTCATATAGATCTTTTTTTTTTTTTTTAAAAAAAACAAAAATGCCTGACGCAACTACAAATGAAATATCTGGAAATAAAAACTGGTGCGTAAACGAAAGATGAATTCTTGGTGCATCGCAAGCACGTGATTGTGTATTAACTTCAACATTTTTCAAGGCCATCATGCTGTCCTATCGTTCGTCACGATATTCGAAATGATATTATCGAGAAAAGAGCACGCCAAATGCTTGAAAGTTCTTATAAAGTATATTTAGGTACGCGTTAAATATATTTATTCAAACAATTTTAACTTAATATTAACTTAATACTAATAATTACATTTATCATTTATAACATGTATATACTAGTTTATTACTTTACATTACTTTTCAATCTTGTTGCAGTCATTACAATTGCCATACTTCGCGAGATTCCAGTAGGGTTCGTTCAAATCATAATCGCCTCGTTATATCTAGTGATATGGCCAATTGTAGATTTTACTTTTAGGCATATGAGTTTATATCATGGATTCAAGTAAGTCTTTAAAAAAAAAAAGTCATTTATTTCATAACATTCATAACATTAAACTCTAATACACTTTTTTTTTTAGAGACGAAAATAAAAAAGCATTTCATCACTTCTTTTTTGCTACGCTAATCGATGTCCTATTTGGGATGTTCATATGCGTAGGTTGGTTTTATGGCGGTGGTGGTGGTCTTTATGCAGCGATCGATAATTTTCTAAATTATCAATATGCGCCCGCTGTATTGTCGACTATTAACGCGGCAATAACACTTGGACATCTTTTCTTACATTTTAAATTAGGCCGAGAGGTATTTTTTTTTTAAAGTTGTTTTAATGCTTGTATCCATATATTCATTACATTCATTCATACTACCGTATCGAACTGATTAAAAAGTCCTTACTAATTTTTGTAATAACAACAATAATAATAATTGGTGTATGAATACGTATGAATATGTGAATGTAAACATTAGCACTAATTCTGTAATTAATAATTTAAACAAGATTGTAATGAAATGGTCTTTTCTCAAAATAGGTTCGAATATTTTACATGACAAGATGTAAAGACGATAAACCAGTGCGGGAGGTTGACGAATTTTAAAAAACCTGTTTGGCCTAACATAGTATTACTTATTTAATTCTTACTGTTTTTAATTTTTTTTTTTTTTTTTTTGTACTTTTATAAGTTCATTCTGTATAATTATCTATTAATCTATATATATATATATACATATAATTTTATTATCAATACGTACTAGTTTATACGTACTTGTCATTCTGTCTATTATGTTAGAAAAAAAACTGGTTTTAATAACTTTTAACAATTTTAACATGAATTCTAATTTATTAAAATTTCAATTAATGATAAGTACATACGTATGTACGTACGTATCGGTACGTATGTACTGTACCATATAAAACTTATGATGTTTGTACCTAATTTGTTTGAACTGAAATTGTAATACATACGTAGAGTATAAAGAATTCCCATTTTTTTTTTGGATTACAGACCATGTGACATAGCAATTTCCGGGTAAAAATATCTTTAACCTTCCATCATTAGCATAGTATTACGTAGTATATCATTCTATATACGTAGCATATCATATCGATATAGCATATATAGCATATATAGCATATATACGTAATATATCGATATAGCATATATAGCATATATACGTAGTATATCATCATATATCATTAGCATATCATTAGCGTTGATGTATGTATATATTAATTAGTACAAATTAGTACTTCGTTATTAATTGCTGCAGTCGATCTAAAAATAAGCATGTGAATCTAACTGGTTACATACTCAAATGCTCTGCATATCGATATCATCTTATATATGTTAGTCATGTCCTCTTGTTTTTTATTAAACCTCTGAATTATTAAAACACCGAATACTTTCCTTTAACTTTCCTTTAACTTTCTTTTAAATCTTTTATTCTCTTACTCCCTTTTAACATTTATTTCAAATGGAAGTCATAGATTACCGTGTTTCTCGAATTGTGGTCCTTTGTAAAGATTGTGGCCATGACGTTGGTCTCTATCCTGCTCGTCACAAATGTGAGTTGCCTCAATCCGATTCCTTCTCGAATCCTGTTCCCCCTATTCCCAAACAACACCTTTCAACTAAAAATAAAAATGATACTAATGCTGCTGGGTTGTGGGGTAAACTTAGATCTGTAAATAATTGGAAAAACGTATCTGAAGGTGATTTTTATTCTTTCAAATTTCTCTTTTCTTTTTTAAAAAAATTTTTATAATTTATCTGTATATTTTATCGGTTTTTAGACGATAATGTTACTCCTTCTATATCACAACCTTCTCAAGGTTCTAAACTATGGGATAAATTATTGAGTGCCGCTGCTGCTTATAATTCTAATTATGATGATGATTCTGAAAATGGTATGTACCTTTAAAAATTGTTTATTTTCAATTATTGCAAATTTTGAACTCTTATATTTGTTGCTAATGGTATTAGAATCTGAGAAGGATGAATGGGAAGGTGAAACTCACATTTCTCGTATATTACGTGAATATCATCATCAAAAATCTGGTGATATCCCTGATTGGTTATTTGATTCTAATGCTAGCGCCAATTCGGATGATGATAATAACAGGGGTAGGAAACTAGGGATACCAATTATAGTTGACAGGAATCGTGACCATAGTCCATCTGATAGACTTGCTGTCCGTAATGATCAAAGAAAATATTCTCCTTCATCTTTACCGAACAATTTTGATTCTGATATGTTTAATGATAAGACTAGTAATACTCTTCAACTTCCAGGTTATCAAAGAGTTGGTGGTGATAGGTCTTATTCAAATACTAATAGGGCAAGAAGTGCTAGTCCAAATCATAATTTTTTATCTTCATCTCGTGATGGCGATTCTCAATATAGTCAACGATCAGGAAATTATAGACAAGGTGGTTTCTTTTAATTCTCATAACATCATTCTTCTTAAATTCGTAGCTAGATCTGTTAGACTAGATACCATAAATTTAGAATATAATTTAATTTTAATTAATTAATTTAAAAGTTTTTTTTTTTTAAAAAAAAAAAAACGAAAAAAACGAAAAAAATAATACATAATACAATATCAAGATCATGTTATTGTTATATCGTAAAAAATTCTTTATACTGTATAAGAAAAAACGGGATTTCAGGCTTTCAGTTTATTATTTATTATTTACCATTTACGACACATACGTAATTAAATTAGTGCTGCCGAATCTGGGGGTCGTCTAAAGCGGAGGCACATCATGTGATCAACAGCCAATCAAATGATCGAATTTTGATGATCGCCAGCGAAGCAAAAAACAAAAAACCCGAAAAATACAAAAAACGGCAGTCTAAACCTACCTCG